GAGGGCTCGAGATGGGGGTGGGGCTTGGACGGTGGCCGAGAGGCTTCGCGTCGCTGCGGTCCTCCCTCCCTCCGGGGTGGGCGGTCAGACAGGGACGATGTGGAGGCCGAAGCTGTCGGCCTGAAGCTTGATGTGGTCCCCGCGGTAACTAGTGGCGGTCATAGGCAGCGGCAGCAGCGGCAGGGGCGGAGCCCCGGGGGGCGGCACTATAATAATAAGGGGAACCTGGAAGTTAACACAGGAGAAGAATGGGCTGGGTGAGAGGACAAACAGGAGAACAAAAAAGGAAAGAAAAGCAAAGCAAAGACCTCCCCGGGTCCAGCGGGATCAGGGCTGGGAGACCAGTTGCCCAGGAGGACAGGGCGGGTGAGGGACCCGATAGGTGACACCCGGCTGCGGACCCTCCAAGGGGTGCGGCGAGGACACAGTAGCCAAGAGCCTTCCCGGTACCTGGGAGGGAGGGAAGGAAGGGACCAGGCAGGAGGCGCAGGCGTCCCTCAGGTATCCCCAGGCCTAAACACTGCCCTGACGAGCCTGTCTCCCTGACCCACCCAGGTACCCAGAGGTCGGGTGACCGGGATGGGACCTGGGTCCCGAAGCAGCACAGCCAAGCTGGCGGGCGGCCAAGCGGACGCTCTAAGCCGCGGGCCAGCTAGGTGGCGTACTCACTTAGTAAGGCGGGGTTGCTGAATCTCCAAGCCTCGTTGTAGGCGGTGTACTGGGGGTGGCTGTACGGGTTGCCCGAGAACTCGCTCCCTGCGAGAGGGTGGGGGAACCTGGATTAGATACCCGGCACGCCAGGGCGGGCTCAGTGAGTCCAGCTGGCGGCTTCTGCCCCCTCTCCGGTAGTCCCAGGCGCAGGTGTGACAGGCACGGCAATGGTGGGTGTGTGCAGGTCAGAGGCGAGGTCCATGTGGGGACAGCAGCCAGAAGTGAGAAGTACCCAAGCATGGAGGGATCTGTGGGCAGGTGCATGTCTGGGACCCCCTGCCGAGGCGCTTGAGGATCACCCAGAAAGGGTTTGCTCTGGGTCCGGTTGTGTCCACCTAGGCAACTTGGGTCGAAGAGCTTTTATGGCGGACACTTGCTCTAGGAACCATAGCTCCATAGGATGAAAGAGGGGGAGGGTGTTGAAGGGAGGCCCTTGGGACACTTTGCCCCAGAAAGTCTTAAGAATGGTATCTCAGGAGCTGTGCCAAAGCTGGGCGGCGGCGGGGGGGGGGCAGAAGGGGGGTCTACTGGAAGATACCACCTCCCATCTTTCTGTCTTGAGGTTCATAGGGGAGCCACACAGCAGAAGGAGACCACAGGAAGCAGGTGGACTGCCCGCTGGCCCAAGAGCAGAGTGGAGGACGCTATGGACTAAGATCATTGGGAGCTACCTCCCTCCCTCTGGGGGAGAAAGGCCAGGCCTCCGGGTTTCCCCCTCACCCTTTCTCCTGTGTGATGACCCCAGACTGTTTACAGTGATCCCTAACCACGGGTTAAGTAGAGGAGAAGGGGCCCCTCTCCAAGAGGGAGCTGGGGTGGGGGTGGGGGATGCAGCCACTGGAAAGCCTGTTTATTGACGAGGAGGGAAAGCATGCGTGCAGCAGGATAATGAGCTTCTGAGCTCAACTGTGACCAAGAGGAACTGAGCTATCTCCTTCCCCATCGCTAATGAAACAAGTGTAATTTCCTCATCAGCACTAGATTCTGTTTAACGACTCCCCCCTTGCCACCATGAGCTCTCTGCGGCTCCCCTCATCCCCACCTCCCTGCAGACTCCCCACTCTCTCCTCACCCCCACCTCTCTAAGACTTCCTCCAGCCTCCACCTGCTCACTGCTGGGATCTTCTTCCTCCGAAGAATCTCCTCGTCCCCCCACCCCAACCAAAGCTTCCACTTGCCTTTCCCTAAGTCTGAGCAGGAATCCGTTCACCCATACCTCCAATTCCTTTCAGCCCCTATTCTGTAACATCCTGCAAAGGACTCCCTAGTTTTTTCAGCACCACCTTCACTTACTCAGGGCTGTTCCTGGATGAATAAGGCTAATCACCCTCTTCTCCACTCCACCCCAAGTATAGAACTTTAGGAATAGGGCATACAAAAGGGCACCAGAGGCAGTGGGTTGCAGTCTGGGTGAGTCTTGGCCACTTTAAGACAAGAGGTTTTGGTGTTTCTGCAGATAAGATCTTCAACTCTCTTTGGCTTTAAGCTGCTCCCAATCTGGGGTAAAGGATAGAGACAGCAGCCACCTAAATATAGCCTCTGCCTCCCCAATTCCAAACTGGAGTCTAATGCCTCTCAGTAAAGGGTGGGTCAGAGCCCTGGAGGACCACAGAAGGCTGGCATCCTCTGAAGAGATGTAGAGGTGTTCTAGATTGTCTCTCTGAAGCCAAGTCTCCCTGGTTCCCTCCACAGCCTGCCCTCGGCTCCATTTCGAGGCTAGCTTCCTCCTCTCTCTGTAATGGGTTGGTTCTCTACACTAGACTCCCCCTCTGGCTTGGTGTGGACCAGGGTGGCTTTGTCTGAATGACTGACATGCCCCTGGAAATGGTTCTTGGCTCCAAGTTTCCATGGAAACCAGGGCAGGCTCTTCTAAGCAGTGTCAGCTAGCTGGGTTGGGCTGGGGCACTGAGGGTAAGACTGAGACTGAGTGTTCCTGGGGCACAGGCTTGGATGAGTGGGTGCTGGAGAGCAGCCATAACATAGAACTGTATAGACAAGGGGGCACATCTGCAAACTTACTCCTGCATTGCTTATGAGGGGCCAACTGCAGTCTCTAGAGAGACAAAGGGACAGAAGGACTCCCATCCACTCTCAGTCTCGGACTGCAGACCACTCAGCAGCTCACCCTCAGTTTAGTTACCCCCACCTAGATTAGACGGCTACAGCATTGTCACCTACCAGGCACCATTCCTGCCAGGGTGGAGGTAGGGTAGCTTCCCTGGCCAGTGGGGGGCACATGAGGGGGGTAACCAGGTAGAGTGGTGCTCGCCATATCACGACCTGGAAAAACACAAAGGGGAAGGAGTGAGGCCTGGAAGAGAGGGGACTGCCTCAGCTCACACCTCAGCTCCAGGGAGAGGACATTCTCAGAGAGGTAGGATCTCTGTGCAGATGTCCATCTGACCAAACAGGTCCCTGAGTACCTGCACATGGGTCTAAAGATCTAAGTGTCTGTGTCTATAAACAGCCTTATATGTGTCTGTGTGCATGTGCGTATACATTTTTGTGTCTGTGGATCTGTGTTCCTGCCTTTGCTTGTGTCTGCATTCCCAACCCAGGTGGAGATGGGCAGAGATGACCTGACTTTGCTCTTCCTTCACAGATATTCAGTTTGTAGTCTCTGTAGTCGTCAAATGGACCTCTGTCATCTTCTCTACTTCTCCCCTAACACTTATCTTTCCTTCAGGCTTTACAGACACCCCACTACCACCTGTACAAGGGTAGATGGGCATTCTTTAGGCTCTTTGAGTGGAGCTGTAGGTATGGAGGGCTGGAAACCAACCTGTGCACTATTTTGCTGTGATTGTAGATTAGAAATCTACAAAGATTAGAAATGATAGAAAACCATTCCTGAAGTGAATCAGGAATTTTGAGTGTAAGCAGATCAGAGCAAGTTCCAATGAGCAAAATCTGCTGCCCTCACCAGCAACCTCCCTGGAGGCCTCTATTATAATACCTAAGGCCTGGAGCATGGGAGACAGGGCTGTCCTGTCCTTGCCAGGATCTGGGAGTGGAGGCAAGATACTTCCATCCACACACCTTTCTTCTGTGACTGGCCTTCCTTCCTTGTTTGCCCCCTTCATTGCTGTGAAGGGGACACCAACTCCCTTTGCAATTTAGCATACTCCAGTCTTTACTGACTATTTGCTCTTTCCTCTCTCCCACACCCACACCCACTAGAGAATATCCTCTCCTGGGGCCCATGTATCTGCTGCAGATTCCCCTTATTCTCCTCACCAGCCAGTGTTCTGCCCCTCATGCTTCTGTCCAACTCTGAGAAGGCAAGGTGTGGCTGGAGGAAGTCACAGGACTATGCACACCTCACCCAGTTCACTTTCTTCTCCTTAGTTGGGCCCTAGACATATTTAGGTCCACAGAATGCCTCCTGGCTATTCCAGAACATCTTTCTTCATCACTGTTTCCTTGATGACCTCACCTGCATTTCTCAGACACATGTGCTTCCTCATCCCTACCTTGACACATTGGAGAGATTCATCTTTCTCTAAGAATACAGAGCTACAGCTCAGGTTTTTTCCATTTCTTGATATCTTCATTAGCTGTCCTACTCTCACCTCAAACTTTGTAGGAATATAAGCAGACTCACCTTCCCCTCCCTCAGTTCTCCCAACCCTTTGGAAGATAGACCAACAACTTTGGAGCCCTAAACCTAACCTTCTTCCTCCCTTCCTATATGAAGTTGCTTCTCCTTAGCCATTTCTCTTTCCCCTGCCACCTTCATAGTTTGCTCTTAAGCACCTCTTGGCTTCACCTAGTGGTTTTCCTTTGCTTGTATTCCTGCCTCCACATTCTTTTCTGTTACTCATCTGAAATGTGACTGCTAGGCTAGCCGTCCTGAAACACTGCTTTCATCACACCACTTCCCTTGCAACCATTGATTCCTTGTAGGCTATAGTTTGAATGGAAATTCTGCAGATGTTCAGAGCCACCTGGGTACTCGCTCCACTCAACTTTTGTAGCTCTAATTCTCACCTCTAGTTTAGTTTGTTTTTACCTTGAAAAGTAAAATGCCTGATTTCGGTATGACCTTTGCTTTTTCTTTACTCAATAGTTTTCCTCCAGTTCAAGCCTCAGAATTCGTATTATTCTACTCATCCCAGAAGTTTCCCTCTTTTATGCTTCCATGTCATCTGTGCTCCATGAATGACCATGTTATTGTGAAATGCATTGGTCCTGTTGTTTCATGTCATGGTTTGTATTTTCAAACAGACCATAAATCACCCCAAGGACTTATAAGTCATAAGACTATAGGACAGGACCTATAGTCTGATCCATCCTCCAAGGTTGAGAACATAGTATACACTCAATAAGTATGTGATCAGCTCTCAAAATCCCTCCATTACATTCATGACCAATTCCTGAGAGAATATAATGGTTTTCTAATAGTTTCTTATGTGTTTCTTTTCTAGAAAGACATAAAGCTAGGACAAAATGCACTTGAATCTTTTTCCTTAACATCAATTGAAACAATAATTTAATTTTTACAGGATGATGAACAATTTTCAGTGACAGATTCATCTATTGTGATTCATTTTACCATGCAGTACAATGATTTTTTTCTTTACCTGTCAAATGTACTAATATCTTACATTTTCTAAAATTCAATAGGCAGAGAAGAACTGACAAATTTGATGTCACTTTTGAATCTTACTCTAAAAAAGAATCTGCATTTGCTTTTTGTTTGTTTGTTTTTGTTTTGTTTTGAAACAGAGCTTCTCACTGTAGCCTAGGCTGGCTTCACACTTGTGATCCTCCTGCCTTGGACTTCTGAGTGCTGGGATTACAGGTGTACGCCACCACACCTTTATGGTCTTTGTTTTGTTGTAGGTAGTCTGCTGATTTTCTATTGTTAATTAAAAAAAATACACATTTCCTGACCATCTCTCAGTGGAGAGGACCTGAAATGTCAATAAGAGTAGCATTTTTTTTTTTTTTTTTTTTGGTCTTTTTGAAACATGGGTTCCCTGTAGCCCCAGCTGGTCTGGAACTCACTATGTAGACCAGGCTGGCCTCGAACTCACAGAGATCCACCTGCCTCTGCCTCCCAAGTGCTGGGACTACAGGCATGTGCCACCATGTCCGGCTTAAGAATAGTATCTTTTGGTTCCTGGAGAGCTTAACAATGTGGCACTTTTTGGTCAAAAGCCCAGGAGAGAAAAATATTATGGAAGATGTGGAGGTTTTGGAGCTAGGCACACCTAGAAACCAAGTCTTCCAGGCCTTGTGATCTTAATGTCTACAAAGCAGCCAGAAAGTAGAGTATGTCTCTCTCCTCCTCCTTTCTTCCCCCTCCCCCCCTTCTTTCTTTCATGCTGGGGATCATGGCTCTCTTCGTTAATAACATAAATTTGAATGTATCTGAATTTGTTCTTCAGCAACATGATTCCTACAACCTGTTGAACTTGAATCCTCATAACCTAAGGTATTCTCACAAATCCCTACTTAGATTCAGAAGAAGGAAAGGCTGGATGACTAGAAAGCCATCTCCAGCCAACTTGGAGGCAGTCCTTTGCAGTTTTTTCTCATAGCTTTCTTGCTTTCAGGATGGTATATCCAACTTCCAGCAGGAAGAAAGCTTTGCCTGTTGAAAGCCATTCACCAAGTGGTTGATTGGAAGGCACATTTTCAAATTCTATTTTTTTAAAAAAAATCTGAATCTACATTTGAAAAATGTGGGAAAAGAGACCCATGACAAAGAAAAAGGATTTGAGTTTCCTACTGTTTGCCATACAGCTGTGCTTTGTTCTGCAAGTGTCACCACAAAGAGGTACTGTTCAGGATCTCTGAGCCAATAAAGTGCAAGCCACTGCATACAAAGCATGCTCGATGGCTTCATTAGTACACAGGTGACACCTGAAGAGCACAAAAAATTGACCAAAGTCTTGTGAGAGCCATATATTCTTCTGGAACACTGTTGTCAATAATGGAGAACACATATTGCAGGAAGTTTTCAAATTACTAAGACTGTCATAGCATTTACCCAGCAGCATTCTTCGAGCAAGCCTCCTTTAGTGAGTGGATGTCAATGGGAAATGGAACAAGTGCAAGGAAGACTTGACAGAGCACTGGGCACTGCAGTACTACACAGAGATGGACAGATGGGGTAAAGATGACTGAAACTGTAAGATGGCCTAGCTGTCTTCCTTACACAAATACTTAAAAGCACAGAAATGGGAGAGAACAGCTACACGGCAGAATACATCTGTTATAAAATATGTGCCATCCAACGGAAGACAGGAGGCAGTAAAGCACTTGCTTTGCTCACTGACAATGCCAGTACCACGAAAATAGCATCAGGAATCACAAATGGATAAAAACTTCCATTACTATGAGAGAGTGGGCATTTCAGGTTGGTTACTTGCTTTCTAAGTTTACAAAGTTTTCAAAGATAAGTCTTCCAGATGGTCAAGTCCTTGTTTCAAAGGTAAGAAGACAGAGACACAGAGACTTAAAGACTCTCCTGTGACTATATGGCAGTAAATGATAGCACCAAAGTTAGAGGCCATGTCCATGCCACACTGCCTTTAATGACTACGTGGAGCCAGATATTCCCCAAAAGTCAAAGAAAAGGAAAAGAAGTTTTCCGACAAGCAAAAATCTCAGACCATCACACTGCCATTAAGACGAGATAAGAAAAAAGGGACACAAGGAATGAGCAAGTGATATGGAAGGTCTGTAGTAAAACTCCATGGGGCAGGGTATTCATCTCCTTTGAGAGTTTTCTAAAACACAAAAAGCCTCTCTGAGAAGCAGTAGTACCAGAGAATCTAAAAGTGTTAGAAGCACTGTACTTGATGAACATGCCTTCTCCGTTCAATGGCAGAAGTCCCCAAAGATTCTAAAGCCAATTTCTACAGCAATCACTACATCTGAATCAGACAGTGCACTTTTGTCAGACATTCCTTAGCAAATGGGCCAGAGCAAATCAACTGTTTTGCAGACTCTAAGTGCAGCCTCTCTTACAAGTACAGATAGAAGCAAAATGGGAGACTTTATTAAGAAATCAGAATTTTTTAGTCATCAGATAATTTGTGCTACTTTGTCAGGTATAAGATCAGCTGTGTATCTCCTTGCTCCTGGTCTCCCTAGCACTCACTGAGCAACTATGATATGTTAGTCAGTGCCTTCAATATTTTATATGGAATATCTCATTTAATCCTTTTATCAATTCTACCAGTTGACCTATTTTTAACCCCCACTTTTTAGGCAAACTAAAACACAGAGGAGCTAAGTATTATGTCAAGATTTCACAGCTAGTGGAC